GAGGAACACTTGCTTTTGATAGCTGTGACACTGGCCTGTGGAGTTGGGGAGTGAAGCATCTCCTCCTTAAACAGAGACAGTCTCTCCACATCTGAGACACAGGCCTATATGGGGGAGGAGAGACTTTCCTCATATTCTCAGAATCAGCAAATCATCTCGTTTACAGTTGGTGCCTCACCCTCTCTCCAAGTTATTATTTAGAGCATGCTAGAATATGAGGGTGGTGCACTCTGCATTAACTTCTGCCACAGGGGTCTCGTGCAGTAAACTTCGTCTTGGTTGCTAGATGCTCATGGGTTGTTTGGGTCTCGGTAAACAATCTCCAGCACCACTAGTTCTCTTAGATACTGGATGCCTTTCTCCATGCTGGTCCATCTGTGTAGCTGCTGTGGCACACTTTCTCTAAAAGGGTACCTCTCCTTCACACTGGTCAGGAGTCGTTTCCAGAGGCTGATGTTTTGTGGTCTATGCCCAATTGTTCTATCAATTCCTCCTTCTCCAGCAAGCGACCCCAGCTGTTTGGCCTCTCTCCCCTCTAGCTCCATACTACTGGCTCCATCATCCCAGCAGTGGAGCAGCCAGGCCATGATATGTTCACCTGAGCAGCGGCTGTAGCCTCTATGATGTCCTGTAGCTCCCTTAGGGGTAAGGATCATGTAGTCACAATGGCTTCATCCTCTGTCTCCAACTCTTGAGATGGCCCTGCTCCCATCTCCTTATTGTTTGTTTCTGTTGCCTGGCATAGCCCTGCTACCTCATCATCCTCAACTATGCGGACTGATTTACGTGTGTATTTCTTTTTCTGAACTGGGGCCACTGACGGTTGTCGACCCTGGCAATGGCACACAAAAGACTGAAGGAGTGAAGCCGCTGTAGGAGGTGGATCGATTGCAGTGGAAGACAGCGTGGCTAAGACAGGCTGGCTGCAGTGGGAGATGGTGACATTGATGAAGGCATGGTGGACTGTGGTGCAGGCATTGAGAGTGATGATGCAGGCATTGGAGGCAGTAATGAAGGTGTGGTGGATTGTGATGCAGATGCTGGGGCCGATGTAGAGGTGGTTGCAGCTGTGCAGGCTTGGGTTACCAGCCTGCTCCCTGTGTGGCTCTGTGCTGCCCCCTTGCTCATTAAAGCAGCTCGAATGGCTGCACAAATCCTGTGTCTGCCCTGGGCACTGGTAGCAATGGGGCTACCCAAACATTTCCTTAACTTTACCCAAAGCCATTGGAACATTTACTAGCAAGCTGATCCCTGGCCACAGGTCACCCCAACACCATGAAAAATTTCCAGAATACTCATATACCTTTGCCATCGGACTGAGAGGAGAGGGAAAGAATTGAAAAAATTTTTCCACATCCACCCCAGTACCAAATAACCTCTCCTCTATCGGCTGTGTCCCCCACAGGGAATCCCCAAGAGGAAAAAGGGAGAGGTGCCATTGTGGAAAGCCTCCAGGAGATAACCCAAGATGTACCAGGGGTCCGACAATATTAAGTACAGATAGAGATAGAGTATCCCTGCCAGCATCAGCAGCACACAAAACAGCCTGACCAAACCTCTCAGCTTGGCTCGCACATAAAAGTTCAAAGTGATCAGTAACGCCTAAGGCATCAGATCCTGCTGTTCGGTCAGCAGCCTGAAAAGCCCCGAACTCAGTGCCTGGATCAGCCACCACCACATTGTTTTCCAGAGCTTATCACACAGTCTGATCTGTTTCTCATCTCAACTCTCTCAAACCCCACTTGGGCATCAAAAAGAACTGTCATGGTTTAGCCCTGACGGGCAATTAAGCGTCACCAGTCACTTTACCACTCCACCTTCCCGAACCTAGTCCCCTCCCCTCCCAGTGAGGAAGGGTACAAGGGAGGCTCAAAGAAAGTTGAGATAAGAACTATTTAATTATATAAATGAAACTTATGGAGTTACTAGCAAAGCTGTTGCTAATAAGTAATTAAAAGAACAGAGAAATAGAACAAATGATACAGGATCTCACCACCTGTGGGCAGACAACAGCCAGGTTCCTGGCAAGGCAGAAAAATCCAAAAACCCTGAGGGGAAAAAAAAACCCCAACCCCACCCAAAAACCAAACCCAACCCAAAACAGAGAAAGAAAACCCCTGTTCAATCAGCCCAGGAGGTGAGATCAGGGAGAAGAAAGGGGGAAAAAAACCCCAAAAACCTACCCAAACCCAAAAAAACCCACTTTCAAACCCAACTCCTAGATCAATCTGCTTAACAAAAGACTCTCCTTCTGCTGCCACGAGGTCCAAACTAAGACCCTGCTGCGCTCCTGGCTGGAACCCCCCCGCCGACCCTCACACCCCCTCCAGGTTGTGCCCATGCTTCAAACATCCCTCTCCCCACCCTCGCCCCACAGGTCCGCAGTGCTGCTGGTACCGGGGTAACACCAACCACGCAGCTTGATGTATTATGGAGTGAAACTAAATATTATAAACTGGTGCCTAGAACGAGGGCAATCACCTTTATATGGTACTAGTCCAGTAGCTAAAATGAGAGATGTTTTTTTCCCTGACATGCCAAAATGTGGTTCTTCCTTTTTGAAAAGATTCTGTCTTCATTGTTATGGTAATATGAGAATGTGACTTCTGCCATTTTAATGAAATCTAATTTAAGTAGAATAAAGACAGTACTCAAAAAAAAGTTTTGGGATGAACAAGGATGTTTAGTACGCCATGGACTCTTCTGGACAGTATTAGGGGCTTGAGTTAAAGCTAATTGCAGCCGTTTCTTGTGCTTTATTAATTGTCCAGGTGCACAGAAGATGGATGTCCTCACAAGAAGTTTTTTCACACCCGTTTTCTTATGCGAATGAGGCTGACACCAGACTGTTCCAAAATGTTGATCTCAACCTCCTCTGGATATCTTCTGATTTTGCATGACCTTGACCTAAACAAATCTTTAGATGTTGGCAGCTACCCAATTTTAAGAGCTAGGAGGACTACATCAAGTTCAGGTGAATGCTTGTGGGAAAGTCTGTGGCAATGTCTGTGTTAGAGGTGTTTTATAGACTACTCTTAGCTATCAGAAGAAGGCAAAGGCAGAGGCAGAAGGATGCTGCCGAGGAACTCTTTGGCATGGTAGCTGCTTTGTTCAGGGATCACACGTGCGTACTGTTGAGTGGTATGTTTTGACTGAAGTGTCTATGGTGATTTTTGGAATAAAGACTTTAGCACTATAGGTTATAGTGCCTGTGGAATTTGGTGACCTCGAGCTGGCTGTCTCTAGTTTTATCTACTGTCTTTGGTCATGTGGTAAAAGAAACTTGACCCATGCTGAGCGACTAACTGTGTGTGATCGTCTGCAGCTACTAATGACTGTGCTGTAGTGCTGCGGTTGCTCTCACCAGCACACCAGGAAGAATGTTATGCTCTGAAATTTCACTGCTTGATTCCTCCTGCTTTGTGGCAGTAACAGCAAAATTCTGACAGAAACTCTGCCATTTGGGGTGTGAGGATATGAAGGGAATGGCCTGGTGAAAAATTCCTACCCCGTCTTCTAGTAATGACAGTGCATAAGAAGGAAGGAGCTCAGCTGGCCTCTTGTTCTCAGTAGTTTTGTGTTGGCAGTTTTTGTGAGACTCAGACAGAATGGTACATTTAGACTATACAGGTTATGTAGAAAAATCTTTTCTTAAGAAGGTGCCTTACCCTTTACTTAACCTTTCTAGGGAGGGTTAAGTGAGGGGTGTGCATAGCAAGTGGGCTGTATTAGCTGTCAATGTTCACATGGCTGGTACTGTTTGTAGACATAACATCAGGTTCCTCTGGTCCTCGAGCTGTTGGTTCACCATGTCAACAGAGCGATGCAGTCCAGCTGTCTGAGAAACACTTGTCACGGACCTCCCAGCGAGAAGGTAGGAAAAGGTTTTTAAAAAATAAAAAATCATGGACTTTGACTCATTGTATCCTGAACAGGCCGGAGTATAACAGTGAAAAACTGTGCTTTTGTCTCTGTGACTTTTAAAAGAATAGTGTTGCTCTGACTTCTGTTAAACCAGTAATATGTAATTGCACACCAAAGTTATCCTTTTTTTCCCAAGAAATCTGATAACAGCAAGATATTATTTTATATTAGTACATTATTGCTGTTACATAGAGGTGGTCCCTTTTCCTTCTGTTTTTTCCTCAAATTAAGTTTGTGTGAATGATCTTTAGAGGGAAAAAGTTAAAAAAAAAAAAAGGAACCCAGAGCAGAACAAAGTTTTGCTTTTTATTTTCCATAATGGTGGAAATATGTATGTGCAGTTTCTCTATGAGGAGTCATTAGCATGGAAAAAGAGTATGCAAGCAGGTCTTAAATATGGAGAGTGCTTTGTGAAGTTCTGATTACAAACTAAGTCTGACCTAACTACAGAGCTGTGAAAACAGATGATCCTGTGATAAGCAGGTTTATTCTGAATCTAGGGTAACTTTCAGAGACTCAGCTTGAACTTAGCAAATTGGCTTTGTGAATCACATGCAATTTAAAATAAATACAATGTTAAGTTTTAACTACTTATGGTTGTGAGATCCTCAGACATAGCAGTGAAAGGAGGAGGCTTATCTGGATGGCAAGGCATGATTTGCCTGTGAAAAGCTTTCTAGGGGGTGAGGGGGAGAAGGGACGCATGAGGGAGAAGAACATGCATACAGCTGAGCGGGCCTTGGCAGGAGTTTGAAAAGGACATCATACAAGTTTGAGAACGAGTAGTTGTTATTTTAAAAGCCCACTCTTTAGACTTCGTTTGGCTTTTCAACAGCAGACTGATGAGAGAGGTGAAGATCAATGTATACACTTGACTCTGTCTTAACAGTAGACTTCCCCTTCTAGGTGGATCACCTAGAAATAGTTTGGAGGTCTTAACACCAGAGGTTCCTGGGGAAAGAGATCGGGGCAATTGCATTACATCACTGCAGCTACATCCAAAAGGGTGGGCTACGCTTCTTCGGTGCTCAAGTAACACAGATGACCAGGAGGTAAAACAAATTTTTAGTTTGTTGTTTTGGTTTGTTTTTTTTTTTAAATATATTGACTAAGATGTATTGATCATACAACTATATTGAAATTTCCTTGTTTGGAGTAAGTTTGCGTTTGAATAAATTAGTCAGTTATTTCTGCTGGCAAATGCATTGATTTTACACTAAGGTTATGAACTTTTTTTTTAAAAAAAAAAAGTTACTTAGCATGGCTTTCTATCCCACATTCAGTACTCCTGTTGCCCAGTTCTTTCACAGAATATTTTTATGGTCCACAGCTGTGTTGAAAGTTTTCAAACGGTAGTTGTGCTGCCATATACATGACTTAAAAATAGGTACCTGCCAAAATATAGAGATGTGAACTTGGAAAAGACAGAGGATTAGGGAGTTTTAAACCATGTTCACCAGTACAAGTTGAGCAGAGAAGCTCCTATGAATTCCTCATGTGCCTTTGTAATGTGTTCTGCCTCCATTGGTGCTCCAAGAATGAAATGCTCCTGCTTTGCTGGTAAACACTTTCCAGAGTCTGCTCCTGCACCACTGGGGAAAAAACCTCATGGCATATTTCTGTGTCTGCTTAAAACTTCCACACTGTAGGTCTAAATATGATGAACTCCAGTGATGTTTATTCAACATCAAAGTGCCTTGGTTGCAAGTCTCATCCTAAAACTCTGCAATTTAAATGTAAATGGGGTATCAATGATCCCCCAGATTTGCCCAGGCAGAATCCTTTTCAAGCCTTTACTTGAAGCACTAAGTCATAGGATCATAGGCAGGGACCCCTTCCACTAGACCAGGTTGCTCAAAGCCTCATCCAGCCTGGCCTTGAACACTTCCAGGGATGGGGCATCCACAGCTTCTCTGGGCAACCTGTTCCAGTGCCTCACCACCCTCTCTGGGAAGAATTTCTTCCTGATGGCCTGTTGTGGTCTAACCTTGGCTAGCAGTAAAGTACCACACAGCCACTCGCTCACTTCTCCCCCTCCCCCAGTGGAAGAGGAGAGTCAGAGGAAAAGACAAGGAAGCTCATAAAGTTGAGATAAGAACTAATAATTGAATATAAATGAAAATTATAGTGATACTACTAATACTAACAATACTACTACTACTAAGTAATTAAAATAATAGAAATTAGAATATATAATACAACTGCTCACCACCCACTGACCCACACACATCCAGGTCCCAGGCAGCAAGAGTCCAAGCCTGAGAGCCCTGAGAGCCAGAGCCCCAGGGTGACAACCCTACCAGGACAAAAGCCAGCTGACGCCCCACCCCACTTACAAATGAAGCCGCTCCACTGCTAACAGTTGCCACCTGCTGAATAACACACAGCCAGGTACTGAGTAGTGAGAGCCAGAGCATGAGAGCGACAACAGGACCAGGACCAGGAAAAAAACAGCAGACACCCCAACCCACTGAGGAATGAACCCGCCCAGCCACTAAGGAGCTAGCAAAAGCATTAACACCCCCCTAGGCCACTTACCATATGAGTACTGTGCATGTGCACTGAGCATGATGTACTATGCAATGAAACACTCTCTCAGCCACTCTGGGCCAGCCATCAGCTCTGTGAAGAAAAACAGCTCTTTCCTGCCTGAAACCAGCACATGTCCAATCTAAATCTCCCCTATTTCAATTTAAACCCGTTACCCCTTGTCCTGTCACTACCTGCCTTTGTAAAAAGACCCCCCTCAGCTTTCTAGTAGCCACTTCATGCTAGAAGGTCTTGCTGGAGCCTTCTATTCTCCAGGCTGAACACACCCACGTCTCTCAGCCTGTCCCCATAGGAGAGGTCCTCCAGCCCTCAGAGCATCTCCATGACCTCCTCCGGAGTTGTTCCAACCGGTCCATGTCTTTCTGAAGTTGCGGGCCCCAGAGCTGGATACAGATCTATATGTGGGGTCTCACCAGAGCGGAGTAGAGAGTAAGAATCCCTTTCCTCGAGGTGCTGCCACGCTTGTTTGGATACAGCCCAGGATACGGTTGACTTTCTGGGCTGCCAAGCACACACTGCCAGCTTGTGTCCAGCTTGTCATCCACTTCTTCATGGACTGTACACAGAAAGGAAGAGCCTGTGGGGTTATGCTTGGGAGCACCTGCTTTTGAAGAAGTAACTTCCAGATTAACTCAAATTTACTTATAATTTAAAGCCCAGACAGTGCCTTTGAACACCTGGTTTCCATCAGATAGTCTTGCAAACACCTTTTTTCCCCTAGGGTTATTTCAAAATTATTGATGTGACAGTTGTGCAGACTACTCTGTTATCAAGATACAAAGCTTTCATATTTGTTTTCCAAAAGCACAAAGAATTGTTTGAATCCTTGGCCAGTAATAAACAGATTAGAAAATCTGATAGCTGCTGTAATTTGGGTTTGGTTTTGTTTTGTGTTTTTTGGGTTGTGGTGGTGGTGTTTACTTGGGATTTATTTTTTTTTTTAAAAAAAGTCACTCTTCGTAATGGTAACCTCTTAACAGATGTGTGGAGGACTGAATGGAAGCTTAGCAGATTCATTACAAGTTTTAATGCTGGTTCTGTAAACTTAAAATCAAACCACTATACAATACAGAATTTTTTGAAAATGAGAATATGTTGGGTTTGTTGATACTGACACTAGACATAGTTAGAATTTCCCATTGTCCGAGTGTATGCCTCACTTTCTTCTGTTAATATACATATTTGTATTCTTCTCTATGTTTATTTGTCTAGAATACGTGGAACACAACTAAGGCTTCTCTGGGGCTGAAATTGTGTCTTTCGACATGACACAAACTTTGTTGTATAGCTGTTTTTCCATTTGATCTGAGATTAGATAGTTAGATCACACATCAAAATCCCTGGCTGTCTCACAGATAACCAGCTGGTTATAGAGCTGTTCTTAACATACCTTAAGAAAAATCTCTCTCTTCTTTCAAGATTTCTTTCCTTTTGAAGTTCAGGGTACAAAATGCCAGTGAACAATTATAAATTACTGTAGGCTGCATTATACTTTATTGTAGATTTCTTTAAATGTTTATTAAATTAGAGCAGATGCTTGGCCAAAAGATTAAGCTTTGCTCTTTGAAGATAAAAACTAGATCTAAAAGATTGTATCTAGTGTGCATTTAATTAAAAAAGCAGCTTTGATCCTAGACAGCCATTTCACTTTGTTCAAAACAGAGGAGATGCCAAGGAACCGGCTATTTTTCAGTATTCCATAGTAGACACTTATCGAATAGTAGATAAGCCATAGCATTGATCATTCCTGTATTATTCACTTCACATGCAGCAGGAGGGAATGAGTATTTGCAGTGCTTTACATTTCTTTCAGTGTTCCTTTCTCTGCTTCTCCCTTTAGTGGACTTGTGTCTATGAATTCCAGGAAGGTGCCCCCGTGCGCCCTGTCTCACCTCGTTGTTCCCTGCGATTGACTCATTGCATTGAAGAAGCCAACGTTGGCCGGGGTTACATCAAAGAACTTTGTTTCAGTCCTGATGGCCGGATGATTTCATCCCCACATGGCTTTGGAATCCGTTTGTTGGGGTTTGATGCATACTGCAGTGAACTTGTTGACTGTTTGCCCAAAGAAGCTAGTCCCCTGAAAGAAATCCGCTCCCTCTACTCTCACAATGACGTCGTACTGACAACCAAGTTCTCCCCAACGCACTGTCAGATTGCCTCGGGGTGCCTTAGTGGACGTGTGTCTCTGTATCAGCCAAAGTTTTAGGCACACCTTGAATCAACAGGACTTTGAGATGTTTGTGGTTTTTACTTCAGTTTAGTTGAAGTGTTCTTTCTGAAACCTCTAAATCCAGTGAAGATCATAGTTGCTGTGATTTCTGAATACAACAGCAGCATGAGTTTCCAGCCCAGCACCGTGTGCATTCTCATACTGTATCCACCAGTCCACTTCCTTGTGCTGTTCTCAGCCTTCCAAGCAGACCTCTGCTCCTGCTGATGCTGTGCCATCGAGTCATTGTTTTGGTTTGTTCATACCATAGTACTTGTTGATACTTGAAGTGCAATTTGAAGTGGGCTATTCAAAACAAATGTACAGAGGCAGGGGTTCAACCAGAACTTGGCCAGGCTCCCAGAGTACACCACCTCCTTGTTCCAAAGGAGCTGGACTTCCTCATGTAGGCTTCCTTAGCCTTTTTTGTTGCTGAAACTACTATACGGTGATTATTAGATAATGATCTGCTTTTGTACATAACTAACGCCGTTAGTTACTGTCACAGGAAGAAAGGAAAAAATTTGTTAATGTATTAATTGGGTTGTTTGTGGTTGGTGAGAAAAATGAACCAACTTTTTGTAATGTTCTGCGGCAGTTAAAACATCTCGTTTTCTGTGACTGGCAATAAACACAGTATATGCAGAAGGAAGAGGTTCTGGATGAGTATCTAGCTGTGTTTTTTCCTCAGAGAATTTTGTAGGAAAAGACCGGAGTAGGGAAGCAGGAGTCGAGTGGGTGAAGACCCTGCCCTGTCACCACCTTAGATGAACCATTTGAATGTGTTGTACAACAAAGGAGTTTCCTTAGCCTCTCTTGGGCAGCTTTGACTCCTCAGCTGCCAGGGTTTCTGTTGTAGGGAGCTTTCTGCATCAGTAACATAAACCTTCGTTTATGTTAAGGCTATGTCCCCACCTGAGTGTTCTTTCACACCTCACCTGCACCACTGCTTTGAGAGGAGTCCGTCTAGGACGTGTATCACCATGTCACCGGATAAGCCTTTGTTCACTTGAACAGTTGGTTTGGGAACAGATTAAGAGCATGCCTGTCTACAGTAGGATCTATTTGGATTTAACTGGGCTTATCCTGAGATGTGAAAAATATTAATGTTCACCATTAAATCACATATTAATTATGAATGCCAAGTTTTAGCACTCAAGTTAATATAGCTAACCTTGTAAATTCAGTTATTTCAGTCTCGTATGTCTATATCTGTTTATAATATTCTCACTCATCACTTTCATGGTCCAAGGTCTCTTTGGTTTTGGGGTTTTTTTTTTTAGTATTTCACTAAGGTTTTGATGACCAAACACACACTCGATTCAGAAGGAAACTTTACCTAAAAAGGACTGTCATATTTTGGTGTTCAGATTCATTGTCTCTGGCTCAAAAGTGCATGCTTTTTCAAAGTTGACTCTCACAAAGCTTTTTGCATAATCTGTGTTTGGGGAAAAAGATGACATCTGTGAAGATGAGATAGCTGAACGTATGTCAGCCTGAAAATCCTCTTGTAGTTCTGAATTGAGTGGGTAGCATACTCTGGGTGTTGATAGAGAAGTCACTAAAACTTGAAGTCATTGAAAGGCTCCTCTGCATCATGAGAAAAAAAAAAATCTTAAATTTCCTCTTGTGGAGAATTTCTTTAGTAATACAAATTTGTACTGCTAAATATAAATGTAATTTGCTGATCTGAGGACTAGTTAATTACTGCTGCATTGTTTTTTCAGCATCTCTAGGTACTGGCTGCTAAAGGACTACATTCAAGTAGTCAAGTATGCACAGCTAGCTGAAAGAGTTCCTGTTGTTTGGTACAAGCCCTAAGCTTCTGTTCTCATGGGTTTTCAACAAAATTATTTAGTGATGGTGTCTCAGTAGAATATCATCACAGCTGGAGGCAGAAGAAGAATAATTTTTTCAGTAACTATGCTCAGTTAACTTAAAATGTAAATAAATGCCCATAGTCGTCTCAGATAGCAACTCATAGGTTGAAATGTTCCATGGCATGTCTTCTGAGCACCTCTGTTGTTGCTGAAACTATTACCTTGAACTCAAAAGGAAACAGATGAAATCATAAATAAGGAGAGATGTCCTGTTTTCTGAAACACTGACTCAAGTTCAAACGCTTGTACCTTCTGAATGCTTTTGGAACTGCATGTAGGAATGCGATTCATAAAAAGGTATTTTTTCAGTTGAAGATAATGGCCCAAGTCATGAAAAATGGGGCCTAGTGACTGAATGAATAAGATCTGCAAGTATATTTGAGACCAGTAAGAAATACGTAGCTTCCATTTGCACCCAGCTCCTTTTGTGCGCATAAAAGCCCATGAACCTACACGTGGGGCAGCTGGGATGTGTTAGTTGGTTAGAAACAGTTCAGGAAGACTCTGCTCCTCTGTGGCTTAAAGCAATGGAAGTGGAGTGTGCAGGAAACTTGAGGACAGTTGTGGAAGTGGAGTGTGCAGGAAACTTGAGGACAGTTGTGGAATACAAGATTTTTATGCAAAGGAGGAGCTAAGCTACAAGGAGTTTTTAATTGGCCAAGCTGGTTTTGATTAAAAAAACCCAACCAAACAAACCCCAGTAGCAGCATGTGGCAAAACTTCTGAATCCTGTGTCCTTGGCATTGGTCTAGTGGAAGTGCTAATTTTCCTGTTCCTGATGTATTTTGAAACAGTATTCGGTGTGACTCTATGAGCGCTTGCGTTTCCCTGCACTACCCTCCATTAACATGGTCTGTTAGTGATAAAGAAGCCGGTTCTCCCTGCCGTGCCCACACTGGACCATGATGGCTTTTTCCCTAAGCACTTGCACTCCCCTCTTCTAGGCTGCTGCTTTCTCACCTCATTAAATGTTTTACTGAACATCGTTAAAGGGACTACAGGTAACACTTTCAAGGAATCTTAAAAACAGTTCTCACAGCCTGAAACCATGTTTGTTTTGGAGGTGAAGAAGCACCCATGAAATCAAAGCAGTTCTTGGGACTTTTTGATTGTTTTCATAGGTGGTTTTTGTTTTTCCTATCAGAAATTCCTTCAACTGGTAGAGTGCTTGTGCTTTAATTCTATGCCTGTTAATGTGTGCCGAGTGTTACTATTTTAATTCTACCTCATTTATTATTTATACAAGAGTGTTGTGCTGAAACATTGGACACTAACTTTGCTGTATACAGAACTATTACTGCTGAGTGACACATGCCATCACATCCAGATATACCTGCTATGCACAGCACCCAGAGCTAGCCAGCCTTGCCCGGCTCTGAAACCAGGGCACTGAGTGAGAGTGCAGGACTGATGCTAAAGGTGACCCGGTTAAGGGGTTTGATGATACTTTTGTAGTGTGTGCAGCAGATGTATATTAAGATGGATTCTGTCTGTGTGTGCTCTAGAAATGTTACCTAGTTCTTCTGATTACATTTGTAGTAACTGAATTAGAATAAGTAGGTAATCTTAGGTTTTGATAATCTGATTACTCCTTTTCAACAATACTTGGAAATTTTCAATGAAAGTTAATATTTTACCTATGAAGTTCACCTAACACGCTGAAACACTATTTAATAGTTTGTAATTAGAATCGTTGAATGGTTTGGGTTGGAAGGGACCTTAAAGACCATCTAGTTCCTCCCACCCCAGCCATGGGCAGGGACACCTTCCACTAGACCAGGTTGCTCAAAGCCTCATCCAGCCTGGCCTTGAACACTTCCAGGGATGGGGCATCCACAACATCTCTGGGCAACCTGTTCCAGTGCCTCACCACCCTTTCAGTGAAGAACTTCTTCCTGATGTCCAACCTAAATCTACACGCTTTCAATTTAAAGCCATTGCCCCTTGTCCTATCAGTTACATCCTTACAGTTCATTCTTGGTGGAAGGAGTGATCTTCAGCTGTCTTTTTGAATATTTTTGCCTTATTGAAGTATTAAATAGATTTTTTGAATTAATGGGTTATTTCTAGGTAGACCAAAAAAAAAAAAAATCCTTGCTGTTATGTTTCAGAATATGAATTCTTAACCTTCCAGAACTGTATAAACCTGCCTGAAACAAAATATTTCAAATAGTAGATGAAAGACTGTACCAACAGCAAAATGCAGTAGCATCTTACACCAGAGGTTTATTTGAACTTGTTTACTTTTGATCTTTCAAGTGCTACATCACTTGATAAATTTTATAGTATTTCTACTGAAGATAGAGCTGTCTGAGTGTAAAGCATGCAGTATGTTTTAAAATGCATGGTTTCACGTTCAATAACTTCTGTAGTAGAACTCTTCTGTTCCCAGCATGGCTGGTCAGCAGATGCAGATGAGCTGCATAATTAGGATGTCTGTAGGAGCACCGACTTATAGCAGCACTTACGGGAATCAGACTAGTATTTGAAGCCAGTAATCCTTTTGTAAGAGTCCAGTGACTGTATGTTGTGGGACTAAATGTGTTTTCTGAGTATTCCAGTAGAGGCCAGTCTTTAAATCACTGCAGCACTGTTAGATATTTTAGGGGATTGGGGGGTGGGCAGAGGGAAAGTACTAACGGGATGGCATGATGACATCCATGTATACGTACAATTCTCGGTGTGAGAGGGAAGTGCATATTTCGGATATATACAGCCATGGGGCATCAGTCTGCTTGTCAAACATGGTACTTCAGGGAAACACAGAACCTCCAATCAGAACTATTGGGGATAGGAAGGAAAGTACAGTGGTACAGACAGAAACACACACACGCTTTTTTGCACTCTTGGAGCCTTGGTGAGGACAGTCTGGTTGCCTACTACCAGAATTAGAATGTAAACATTTTTTTTTCTGGGGTTTTGTGGGGGTGGGTTGGGGTTTTTTTTTTTTGTTTGGATAAACATTGATGTGGAGAAGGTCCTGATACTGTAAAACATGGGTCTGTTGCTCATTGAAATGTGAACTCTGAGAAGAAAGAAATACACTTGCCAAATGAAAGCTTTTAAAAAATCTACAAGATTCTAAAAAGCTGGAGTAAAAGCAAAAAGTCAACAGCC